TATGAAACTTCCCCCCTACTTACAGATTTTCACTTATAGTTTTAGGTGGAAGGGCCACTGGTTGGCTGTAACTAATGTGAACTCTGTATTGAAAGACATAATTCCCTTATGCTACTATATGTATGTCCTTGTTTTCTTTTTGTATTAAAGAAAAGTTTTTTGTTTGTTTGTTTGTTTGTTTTTTAATGCTATGACTTCCTTCCTATTATTTTTGACAGCCTTGTAGCAGGATCTAGATACAAGAACCAGAGTGAAACAGATAAGAATATGGTACTTCAAAATGTTTGTTTCCCATGAAGTATATATAAATATATTTTTCATTAGAGAAAAGAAGAGATTGAGTGAAGTCTTTTATTTTCAGTTACACGATGACTCACCATAAAAATAACTCACTACAATTTTAGGGGAGAAACAGGAGTAGTGAACAGATTATTTTACCAACCGTACCCTGGAAAGGGGGAGTATACAATTCCCATTTTATACTTTGATGTGTCTGTCAGTCTTATCATTGTCTCTGGAGTTCAAATGGTCTTTTACCAGAGAATTTGGATCTGCTTGAAAAAAAACAAAGTGGGATCCTTTCAAGTTCAAGTTCAGTCCTGTAGTATTATGAGGAGTTCCAAAAATTCCCTCACAGTCTTGCACTTCTTTTAGAGATTTTCCCAATTCAAATATAAGCTATATTCCAAGAATATTCTTAGAATATTCCAAGTTGGTGGTAAAGACTCAGGAGGATCATTGACTTAAAATGGAACCCTCCTAAAATTGAGTCAGTTCTCTTTAATGTTTTTAAAACTGATTTGGATGCAGGACTCAAATGCTTACTCAGTATGTTTGCAGATAATACTAATAACATATTCAAATAACATATTCTAGAGTTCAACCTGAATAAGCACATTCAGAACCCATTCCATCACAGAAAAGCAGAGACGAGTATTCTTAATACCTAGATATCCATACTATCAAGACTAATAACCACATGATGAAAATCAATAGAATTAGGACAGACATGATTCAGTTCATAGAACTATAATGACATGGAAAAAATTGTGAAGGCTAATCTCTGCATTCAATTATATCACAATATGTCTGGTCAGGTACACCAACCTCAGCTGAGCTAAACTAAACTAACTTGCTGTAATGGAACAAAGTAGAAAGTGTCCTCTGATGTTTGAGACTGTACAGGTTTTCTTTCTTTCTGGAAATTCCACTCTGGCAAAAACACTAGGCAATATACACAGAGATAAAATGAAGAACTACTTAATTCTCTCCTGTACAGTAATAATGTTAAAGTTAACATCTTTTCAAGAGAAATTTTTTTAAAAAAAAAGAAAAAAAAAGAAAGAATTAAAAAGTGTGAATTTCAAATATGTGCTTTATGCTATCAAAAGTTATGTTTTATACCACCTAGGTTTCTATTTCTTAAATTTGAGGAAGTTTTCTGTTATTTTTATTAATCAAAATACTTTACTACTCTTAATCAGCACCCATGCCTACAAGGATCCATGTTAGCACACTGTTTATTATTTGTTAAGTGTTATTAAATAATTCCTCATAGTTTCTAATGCATTATAAAAGCAGTTAGTGAAATTATATTTTTTTTTCCTGGTAAAAGTTTTTTATCTCCTCAGATAGTTTTAGAGTGTTTTTATAACCCAGCTTGAAGTGAAATTGAATTGTATGAAATGACTGATTGTCAAGGACATCTGAACAAATAAGGTATTCATTTTATTCAGAATCCATTGAAGGATTTCTTGATGTTTTTATTTAATTTGCTTCATATCGAGGAGCTAACTTCCCCTTTGAGACACATCATGAAAGAAATAAAAGATTAATAAAAGCCAAGGAAGTTCCTACATTCTTGCAGAGTTTGACAAAAAGCCTTAATATTATTCTGTTTCTTCCTCATAGATAAATAGGGACCAGTGTTATAATTGGATTGTTTTTGTCACAGGCTGTCCATTCCCCTGGGTACAGGTACTGTTTATACCTATACTGCAATCTATTAAAAAAGAAACCAACCAACCAACCAACAAACAAACAAACAAACAAAAACAAAAACAAAACCACACAAGAACAATGACAAATATATCAAGTATTAGATTTTTGAGTTAATGAATACATATGTCCAGAGAATAGAGAACATATAATTTGTTTTATTTATATAGCACCATTTGTAAATGCTGTTTAAAACCACAAGCTCTTCCTTTGGTTTCTGACAAATGAGTTGACTGAGTAGGATTATGCCAGTTGGGATGCCAATCATTAGAAATCAGAAAGCTGTATGTTTTTTTTTGCACTTAAGTGAATATTTGAAAAGTTGAAAGTGATTCAACTCATTTTTATATCTAAAAGCTCAAAAATATAAGGCATATTCAAAATTACAAAACAGTACTCAGAAACATAACAGTAAGAAAATGTTCAGATACATGGATATTTGTTTTAAAAATCATTCTATTTTCTCACTTGCTTAAATATGGACTTGTTTATAAGAGCTCCCTCCTCTCCACAAACAAGTAATTTTCTGTAAGGCTAATAAGCATCTCTTTTCATGGCAGAGAGGTGATCTAAAACTAAATGATCTCTAGGGTCCTTTCCAAATCAAGCCATTTTATGATTCATCAGTTTTATTATACCATATATTATATATACATATACAAAATTCTGACATCCCCCTTTAATATTTTAAAATAAACAAGTAATATAACCTAAAACAATCTATATCAAAAGGAAAAAGCATAGTATTGCTATTTGAGTATTTTAATTGTGGTCCCATGTAGTTTTTAAAAGGTTATTATGATTGCTGTCAGTGAAAGAAGTAGAACAAGGCAGAAGTTTTAAATAATGAGATCCAGTTGCTAAACCATAACATTTTCCTTAACATTTTTTCAAGGTAGGATTATGAAAACTACAAGGATAGGTAGAAAATTCCATTCTCTTCACTAAAAAAAAATCCCCAGTCATGCAGAAAAGTAAATGCAATTTACTAAGAAATATTAAAGAACTCCATTGAAACAATAGAGAGTTTTCAAAAATCCCAACAGACAAAAATGAAGTCATAGGAGGCTGGTAGAAATTCATACATGGGAAAGAATGAATTGGGAAATTGTTCAGGAGCAGTTCATCTAAGTGCATTTGCCTCCCCTGTTTTCCAGCACAGTTCAGAAGGCTGGATCATCACATCTGTATGACAGTCAGCCATGAAACACACATTTTCTTGAAGCTAATATACGTATATACTACCCATTTGACATTTAAGTAAATTTTCACTGTTTTCCTTCACAGAGTTTGTTTCATAGCTCAGTGATGTAGACTGCTGCCTTTATCCTTATTTATCCATATTATGTTATGGATAATCAATCACAGGATCATAGAACTGTTAAATTTGTTGAATCTGTTGAAATGCTGCACACAAATGGAACCTAATAAGAGCATGTAAAAATGTAATAAATAAACAGCAGAACAAGATATAAATAATAAATATGGTAATAAAATTCTTTTTGTGTCAAAATTTAAACTCATTAAAACATATATTTTTTTCTGTTTTCATTTTCAAAGAGCTAATATTGAAAAGAACAGGTCTGCTTTCTTCATTTGGTAAAACTAAACATCTCAAATACAATGATTAGCATAAGTATTACGCCAGAACTAAAAAAAAAAAAATAAATAGGAAATGATACTGTAAAGCACGCAGCTTTTTGTTGTAGAGACTGCATACTCTACAGACAGACATGATACAATGATAAAGATTAATTTAATTCCATTCTAATCTGTGAACACATTTTTTTATTTACTCTGTAAAACTAAATTGTCAGTGTTAAAGTCTAGTCTTTGTAATGCTTCTGCAGGGATAGTCTTAGTGCTAGATTAAGTTATAAGCAGAACTAAAGCCTCAGAGTCTCTCTCCCTGTCTCTCTCTGTCTCTGATTTATGTAAATATTAATTCATATTTGATAAATTGCTGAAATTAATTTCTGAAGAACTAGAAAGTGTCATTAAATGTAGAACATCCTGGAAAAATAAAAATATAGATATTTATAGAACCACTAATTATTAGTCTCAAAAATAACGTTATTTTGATGGAAAACAAAACCAAAAAGGAATTATAAAATAAAAATACTAATCTTTTAGTTGTAAAAAAAGCAATAAATACCTGTCTGTATAGATAGCTATTCCAACAGAATTGCAGATACATATATTTTTTATTGAAATGTCATACTGCTCCATAAGAAATATTATTGGAAGGTATTTTCTTTTAATTTTTGGAAATGACTAAGATATCTCAGCTCGTAAGCTAGTTTTTGAAAATAATATTTAGGTACTTAATTACAGAAAAAATACTGTAGTGATATGCCTTGATGAAATTCAAAAGCACCTGGGTAGCTAACTATCTTTGTAATCAAAGCAATTGTGGTGGTCTTAGTGGTTCTTAATCACTTCAGTGAATTGGAGCCTGGAAATGTAATAGGTCTTCAGAACAACATCAGGTTTTACGTGTTAGGGTCTCTGTTCAGTTTTCTAACTGTCCTGTGACAGCTGAGATGCATCAATGTATATCTTCAGGCATCCAGCTGGCCTGTAAGGGCACAGGTTTCCTGTATGTCCTGTGTGATATTTGCTAGTCTCCTGTGGATGTTTCAGATGTCTAACAGCATCTCAGTGTGGCAGTAGCCACATTCATTTGGCAATTGAATGGAGTCTTAAATAAACAGACATTACTGAGAAAAGAGATTTGCTTCTCTCTGACAGTGACAGAGCACTAGAATAGCAAAAAGAAATCTTCTAAACAAAATAATTCAGGACTGTCAGGTTGCACCTCAGTCTCTGGAGGTCTAAATAGTCCCACCACCAGAAGACTATCTGCATGGACACCATTCCTATGCTGACTGCAGCAGTAAATGCATGTATAGATTGAAAAAATAAAATAAAATAAAATCATGTTTTTTAAATTACTGAGTATTTTGCTTCCATGTGGTACCCAGAAATAATACCTGTCTTACCATCATTTCTCAGTGTCAGAGGTGTAGGAGGACTCAAAACTCTGGCATTTGTCACCGTGTTTTTTACCAGACATATATAGCTGCCAACATCAGATGTTTGCACCTTGGAGATGTAGAGATTGCCTGTCTCCTGAGAGATGAAGCGTCTGCTATCTTCTGTCACAAAAGATGGGAATTCATTAAATACCCAGCTGTAGATGATCTCTAAAAGAAAACAGAAAAATAAGAGAAAGCTATTATGGAAACAATACTAAATAATATTGTTAATGGATACCCTCAAGAAATGTTCATTAACTTTATTTAAATAAAGAAAAAAAATAAAATAAATAAAAAAAAATAAAATAAAGACTTTAAAAAAATTATTTGCTTTAGAACTGAAGTTTTTTTTGTTTGTTTGTTTTTGTTTTTTTTGTGTTTTTTTTTTTTTTTTTTTTTTTTTGTTTGTTTGTTTGTTTTTTTCTCTCTTTCAAATTTTGGAAATGAAATAAGCCATAATTGACAAATTATTCAACAGTCCTAAACAGGTTCTCTGGGAGGGAAAAATTAGTTCAGAAAAAAAAATAAATTATTCAACAGACTCAGAAATTAACTGTAAAATATTGGATGATTTCCTTTTCTATTTTGTGGGGTCAATAAAGAAATAAAACATTCTTTTCTCTACCTGTTCAAATTTTCAGTGAACTACAAGATGTTTCCTATAGAGCTAGCAATGATTTTTTTATGTGCACACATAAGCAGGTTTTATTCTGAATACATCTTAAAATATATATATATATATAAAATTAACCAACAGATTCTAATAGCTTTTCAACCTACTTTGCAGGTATTATTACTCCACTTACTATACTCTTCTATATCTGTTTATTTGAAGATATCTCAGAACCCTTTCTATATGCAGCTTAAGTCCCTAGAATTAATCAATCATTAATTCCTTAAACCAAAGCTATCAAGCACTTTACCACAACCTGATTAATCAAGGCGTAATCAAAGAGATTTATTTATTTTATTTTATTTATTTTATTTTACTTTATTTTATTTTATTTTATTTTATTTTATTTTAAAGTGTAATCTGCCTTGGTTATCATTTTTATCCTGGGAATCATTCTGCACACCCAAAAAGTATATATATTTTCCTTTATTTGGTTGAGAAAAAATATTCTGTATGTAATTATATTATGATGTATTACAAATTATTCATGTGGAATTCTACAAATTAGACTTTAAAGCCTTAACCTTAGGTATACTTTTTAACGTGTTGTTCTCTTCTGTTTCCACTTTATCTTACACTGTTTCAATTTGTCTTTACACTGAAACAAATGTTCTTCACTACTTACACATCAGCTATGAGGTAACTTCTTCTGTAATCTTCCCCTATGACAGTTTTTAAAAATCTGACTCAAGAATTAGAAAAGCCAAGGCTAGTTCAGGTATATTAAACCCTTCCTACTTTTCCTAGATGGATACTGCTCCATTGGTATAGCTAGCCAGAAAAGGAAAGAAACAAAGTGAGAGGAAACACCTCAAAATTTCTGTTTTTTTTTTTTTTTTTTTTTTTTTTTTGCCAATGATATGATAGGAATTGGGGTATCTATTTATGGTACAAGAAATACACTAACTCAAACTGATCTGTCCTTCGTGTCCGTACGTTGTACCACTCCCTGATGTGGTCAGAAAGAAATTGAATGATGAACAGTTTTCAGCCAATATAAGCCAATAATGTAAGCAGTCGTGTAGTGATTTATAGATGAGGGAAGTTCTGGATTAATTTTGCAGAAGTTCAGTCCACTTATGTGAGAAGAAAATTTTCTCATGACAAATTGATCAGATCAGTACAAAAATGCTATGTTAAAGGACTAAACATAGTCATCACACAGAGGGGGAAGATTTTTGCAAAACTGAGAATTAAGTTGACTTTCTGCTTAGAATCCTTTTTTCAGATATAATTGCAATTCTGAGCAGACCCTGAGGAATTTCAGAGAGCTCTCTGAATGCTCAAAATCTCCTTCGTCTTCTGCTATGTTTCAGGCAAAATACTAATTAACCCAAAATATTTCTCTCTGAAAATTTAGTTGCCACCATAAAGTCTTATCTGGCAGAAATGATTTGGGACAGTATGAAATTCTACAAAGTGGTGATGAACATATGAGTTCAAGGAAAATGCATAGATTTTAATTGAAGACACCTGTTACTAATTCTAGTGAAAACCAATCAATCTCACTAATTGCTCTGGCTTAAAAGTAGTTCAGACCAAATGTAAAGTAGTCATCATTGTGAGTTCATTGTCAGTTCATGTAGAAAAGAATTTACTTTATTTGTACCCTAAAAACACACAATTAATTATTCAGTAATTAATTAAAACTACTGCTAATGTATGAATTTCAGGCAATGAAGTTTTGTACCTCTAATGAAATGAAATACTTAGTCTTTGCTGGTTCTGAGTCTGGAGGGATGCTGTTATTTTGGTAACTTCCAAATAATTTTTGCTCTTAAAAATTGAGTGATGGATGAATTATGACAGGGTAGTGAGAAAAAAGCAATAGAACTTCTGTGAAATCTAAAACTCAAACAATTTGTGTTATTAAACTGTGGTTTAATCTTTCTATTTATTTACTTATTTATTTTTCCTTCTTGCTACAAAAACCCAATACACAGAGAAACTCTGAAATTTCCAGCTGATGTTATGCAGAACAGTCAGAAACAACCATGGTTGGTTAGGGATCTGGGATCTCAACAGTTCTTAGCTCACATAAATAGATGGATGATCTTGTAGAAGTGATGTTACAAAAGTGTGTTAGGAGAACTACTGCTATTATGGGAAAATGGGTGTATCTTGACATTGACCCATTTTACAAATCTCTGACTCTTCGAATTTCTAAGACGATGGAGGACAAAACACACACTGATTTTCATACTCTAGGACTCTGACTGTTCCTGGTTTACATACCAACAAAATTAAAATTTTGGGTTCTTAAATCACAGGATTACTAATGCAGGCTCCCCAGGCAGAAGATTAATTTGCTTTTTCATTTGATTTTTTTTTTTTTCCTGACAGTGTCATGCATAAGTGAATACTCTAGTAATTGCAATGACATTTACAAATAGCTAACAAAGAGATGATGAAGAATCAACAGTTTAAAACATTGCTGTCTATTTTTTAAGTCTGTTATTCATAATACACATACGTAAAAAAGAATTCTAGAACAACAGTAGATAGTAACGTATCACAACTCCCACAGCTGCTCATCACAGGAGCATATATAAATTACAAGAGAGTCCTTGCTTTAAATATCACCTGATATACCACTCTTACAAAATGGCAAACTGATGAGTGAATTTCAGACCAAGATTCCTATGACCAAGTAGAAGATACTAGTTCTATTTGTACACAGGTCACTGCAGTTTTTAGTTTAAAAAAAAAAAAAAAAAAAAAAGTAAAAGGTTTTTAGAACTTCAAGCCTGTATTTTAGTGCAACAGTTTAGGTTGTAAGATTTTAGAACCAGTGTTGTTTGGTTAGGCATAGAGTACAACCTTTCATTGCATTAACTTTTGAATAGGGTATTAAATCCCACAGATGTATCACTCCTGACAGGTAAATAATTGTGAGTTTGAAGAAATTTTGAAGCTTAAATTAAGTGCTGCCAAAACCTTAATAAACCAAACTACAACTGTAAACTCAAGAAGTAATGACTTTAGAGATAAACCATCTGAAGTCATCTCTTTTTGAGAAAAAAAAAAAAAAAAAAAAAAAGTGAAGTAAGACTGAGTAGACGTTTTCTTCATGTTGTACTTACTTTGATTTCAATAGAGAAAAAAGTTCAGGTGAAAATAGGAAACTGTGAATACTGCTGTACACAGAAACAGAGAGTATTTTTAAATAATATGTGCTGAGCATATTTTTTATTTTTACAGCCATATGTTTTATATTTAATATGACACTTATGCCAAAATCACAAAGATGATGCAGAGACCTTCCTGGAAATTACAGTTGAATGCCAACACAAAAGAAACTTGTTTATATACTATTTTTCAACACAGGGAATAAAAAGCAAGCAAACAAACAAAAAACAGAGAAATAATGAATTTTGAATAGAGGCAGTTGTAAATTGGTATTCTCCTGTGGCATGGGCTTGAGGAGTCTTCTGCTGCCAGGTTCCAAAGTCTTCCAAATGCCCAACTTTTTTCTGTTTTATTAAGGAGTTTTTAGTGAGCTATGTAGGTGAAAATTTGGGTCACTTGGTGATAAAGTACTGAGAAGAACACATCTATCTCCTGCCAAAAAAAAATGTATGGTGAGAAATTTTGTTTACTATTATTTCTTAAATGATTTAGTAGATCTATTTTTCTGTTTCACAATACTAATTTCTATACTGTCACAATGTTACATATTTCTCGTAATGGATGATGCTGGAGTACTGACATAGCATTTTTGTTAGCACTATATGATGTTTTTGGAGATATCATTCTGATGTAGTAAATGTTAGTACTATGGTAATGCAAAAGTTTTTTTGTCAGTGAGGATCAGTATTAAGTATTTTAACCAGAACTGTGGTGGAGGCATTCAGATATCACCAAATATTCACTCCTATGTTTGTTAATGCCTGACTGTTTCCCATGTTTGTTTCAAGGCTTTTCTCCTCAGAAATTGCTTCTTTTCTCCTTTAAACATGTAGTTTCTGGACACAAGTGGTATTTCAAGTGGCATGCGAAGATGTAACATGAGAGTCACCACTGAAACTCCTTCAGAGTGCCTAGAACCTAAAGGTTCATATAGTCCATATTAATAATGCAATATTAATAAATGCAATGTTAAATATTGCATTTTCAATAAAGCATGCACACACATCCCACAATTGCACTTTTGTGGAATTATGGTATTTGCAAAATAAAGAAGTCTATTTTGTGTCTTCTTATTGTGATGCAGTGAGATATACTAGTCCATCTTCTCCAGTATCCTGTTGGGAAAATGTATTTATCTGCCTCTGTTTTAGGGTTTCCTATGATTGCTCCAATTCCACAAGATGGCAGTACCTGATGGTACTAAATGGTACTGACGCCTGATGACAGCCAAAATCTGAAGTAATCTGGGAATTTTAGCAACTCTGATGAAGTTCCTTCTTCTCTTTCTCTCTCTCTCCCACTTTATTAAAACAAACACACAAACAAAAACAGACCACCGCCACCAACAAAAAGACAAACTAGCAAC